CCCAGTCCACTGGGATCTCTCCCCACTGTGACACTGCACCCCATATTCTTCATAGAGATATTATTATGATATGATTATGGCATAATTATGATGTATTTTATGCAAGATAAGTCATGTGAGGTGTCACTGGAAAGGTTATGATTTACTGAATATGATTATCCTGTTTGTATGTATGTATTATATTTGTATCTGAAGTTGGGGATATTGACTATATATCTATATTACAAATGTGTTTACACCTGGAGAACGCCCACTAGGCAAAAGGCTCTCAGTATAGATGGCTGGCTGCGAAGGGCCCATTCAGGTTAATGAGCCATTAGGAGACAACAACAGGCCTTAGAATAAGCTTATCTCTCACCTAGGAGCCTTCCTGAAGACCCTACAGACAGCCTCCGAGTTATGGCTGCTGTGACACTACAGGGACATGTGACCAGGTTACCTGGTGCTGGACTCCATCTTGGGATATCAGTGTTTTTCCACTGACTGGTGTGGGAACCAAGCTTTGAAACAAAGGATTCCTGCCATATACAAAATCCATTTAAGGCAGGGGAGAGACATCATCATGCTTCTTCACTGACTCCCCACCCAAAGAGACTCCTGGAAACACCTGAGGAACAAAGGCTGAATTGGGGGAAGTGCTGGACCCAGGCTAAAGGGATTTTTAGCCTGTGAATGAAACACCTGGGGGTGCCAAGCTGTAAGCCAGTGCAGCTTTCCCCTTAAGAATCTGCAGCCTGCTTGTATCATTACTTAGGGTGAGGATTTGCTATTCATATCCGATCTATGTAGTATATTGAGCTTAGTTTGCACGTTTTATTTGCTAGTTAATCTGCTTTGATCTATTTGCTATCACTTATAATCACTTATCATCTATCTTTTTGTAGTTAATAAACTTATTTTATGTTTTAGTCCAAACCAGTGTGTGTTTGACTAAGGTGTCCGGGGAAAATCTCAGCTTGGTTACCACAAATGTGCATGGTCCTCTTCACGTTGAGGGAGAGGCGGACCGGGTGTTAAACCCATATACTGGCCAGATTTGACTAAGGCAGGATGGTACTGCTCTGGGGTCCTAGGCTGGTGGTTAGAGAGCCTGCATGTAAGTGCAGCTGGGCGTGTTCCAACCTGTGTAAATGCTGGTGAAAGTACAAGCTTGTCACAGCAGCACAGTATGAGAAGGAGCCCAGGCTGGTGGGTCAATAGGGCTCAGTGGTACCCCAGTTCCAGGTGGCACCCTGGGGGAACCTGTCATGCCCTCCACCAGGAGTTCTCAAAGATAATCGCTAATGGCTCAGAGATCTCTTCAGCCAGTTCCTTAAGTATTCTAGGATATATTTTGTCAGGCCCTACCAACTTGAATATATCTAACTTGTCTAAGTCATTCTTAACTAGTTCTTTCTCTATTTTAGCCTCAAATCCTACCACATTTACACTGATGTCCATTGTTAGTCATTTGACCACGGCTAACCATTTTGGTGAAAACTGAAACAAAAATTACATGTAACACTTTGGCCATTGCTGCATTTTCTGTTATTGTTTCCCCCTCCCCATTGACTAATAGGCCTATCCTGTCATTGGTCTTTCTCTTGCTTGTAATATATTTGTAAAATGTTTTCTTGTTACCCTTTATGTCCCTAGCTAGTTTAATCTCATTTTGTACCTTGGATTTTCTGATTTTGTCCTTACATGCTTGTGTTGGTTTTTTTTTTAATATATTCATCCTTTATAATTTTATTTACCGCTTTTTGTATGACTCTTCTTTGAGTTTCAGGTCATTGAAGAAATACTAGCTAAGCCAGGGTGGTCTCTCAACATACTTCTTATTTTTCCCATGCATTGGGATAGTTTGCTCTTGTATACTTAATAATCAGAGGGGTAGCCGTGTTAGTTTGGATCTGTAAAAAGCAACAGAGAGTCCTGTGGCACCTTTAAGACTAACAGATGCATTGGAGCATAAGCTTTCGTGGGTGAATGCCCACTTCGTCGGATGCATGTAATGGAAATTTTTTCCCATTACATGCATCCGACAAAGTGGGCATTCACTCATGAAAGCTTATGCTCCAATACATCTGTTGGTCTTAAAGGTGCCACAGGTCTCTCTGTTGCTTTATACTTAATAATGTGTCTTCAAAAAACTGCCAGCTCTCCTGAACTCTCTTTTCCCTTAGCTTCCCACGGGATCTCATCTACCAATTCTCTGAGTTTGCTATAGTCTGCCCCCTTGAAGTCCATTGTCTTTATTCTGCTGTTTTCCCTCCTACCGTTCCTTCGAATCATGAACTCTATCATTTCGTGATCACTTTCACCCAAGTTGCCTTTCACCTTCAAACTCTCAACCAGTTCCTCCCTATTTGTCAGAATCAAATCTAGAACAGCCTCTCCCCTAGTCACTTTCTCCACTTAGGCAGGCATAGGTATCATACTGATATAAGATTATTCCCCTTCCCATAAGGGAATAAGCTGTACATGTATAAGCACTTTATACTGATATAACTGCATCCACAATAGGGAGGTTGTACTGAGGTAGTTAAAGTTGCACAAGGCCTAACTATATATTTCTACGGCGCCTAAAACATGGGGCCTGGATATAGATGGGAAACTCCAGGCACCACTGTTATATAAATAATAATTTAGCTGGGTCCACAGCATGCTTGCTTTCCATGAACAGCTGAGCTCTATTAGTACAAATATGGTTGAAAAGTGAAATTTAAGCTCAAATGTTTGACTAGCAACAGGAAGTGAAGTCTGGGTTGTATATTTGACTGTAATATTCCAAACTGGACACATTTTCCTCTGATGGTTTGTTATATAGGTCATCCAATCAGGTAGCAAAACCATTACTAATGTGACTGCCCCAAGAGTGCAAGGTATTGGTTTCAGAGCTATTTAAACATGAGTACATTTTAGAATTTTTGTGAACTACTTACTCTATTTACACAATGTTTGCAAGGAGTGAAATGTGATGAAAAAGTGTGTTGTTATGAATTACTCACTTGGCTCAAGCTGCGACATTTTATTAACCTATAGTGCCTTTCGTAAGACCCTAAGCACTTAATAGAATTAGAAATGATGGGCCATTGCTGAAGCTTCTAAAATAGTGCTGGAAAAGTGTCATGTGCAGGAATGTAATGTCACCCATCACCATCATTCCTCTTGGAGGTTTCCTCTTCCAAAATACTCCCTGACCCTTCTTGTGACAGCTAACAAGATCAGAGCCACAGCTGGTATAAAATTGCAATGAATGCTCCATTCCTTATGGCCTATTCCTCACAATAAAGATAGCACCAGAAGCTGCATGATATGTATGCCACATTAATGATTTAAATGGTGGTCTCATGTCAAAACACATTATTTTTCAGGAAGTTATGCCCCTTGGATGGTACCTTATCAATACACAGGACCTCTGCAGTATAGAATGCCAGCAATAATGATTTCATAAGCCAGGCTCAGGAAAACAAACATTATATATTATTTTAAACTATATTAGAGCGCCATTGGGAAAAAAATAATTTCCTGGCATCCATGGAAATTGTCTCTGCATCCAGCCTGCTGATTCAGCAAGAAATCCCTGAGCTCTCCTGCAAAAGCATTTGTACATGGTGTCCTGGTGCAATGAGATGCTCAACCAATATGGAGGTGGAGAGCTCAGACACATTATCTGTCCTCCTGCTCTACACCCAATGTGCCATAAAGGAGTGTTTAACTCCCATCAAGAACCGCATGCTGAGTTTTTCAGGCTTGGGGTCTTTTTTTGCCTGCTAGCTGCACATTCGACATCCATTCAGCTTGAAGCTGCACACATGGATCAAGGTTATGACATGGGCTATAGCGTGCCTCACTTGCATGACTTCTCTGAAGCTCAAATCAGTGCCCTTTCATTCAGACACCTATTGTTTTATTCACCTATTGTTTTTATTCAATAAAACAATAGGTGTCTGAATGAAAGGGCACTGGAAGGAAGAGGAATAAATCCCTCACCTACTGGAGGACCACACGCCTTCTAATGTCATTATTCTTTTCTTTTCCCTGCTTATAGATCTCCCTGTTGACTCACCTATCCATTTCCAACAACAATGTTGCTTCTTGAGGGAAAGAAAGAAAGAGAAAGAAAGTGAATGAGAAACCCACAGAGAATGCCTAATGTGTCATTCTGTAGGGGCCGAAGAGGGGAAGGTTGGATGGGGAGGGGAATTTGGTCTGTAATTATCTCACGTTGTTGCACATTCTCAGTACACCTGTGGTATTTCTGAAGACAGCGTGAGGGGAGGGAAATACACAGATTCTCATCTCTCACCACGTTTAAACATCTCTGGTTGTTAAGAAAAAAAACCTATTTGGTTACCGTGACGGAAGGAAGAGGGATGATCCCCCGATCCACAACTCCTTTTGACTTTAGTAGAGTTACTCCTGAGTTACACCAGCATTTGTGCTGGGAGAATTACGCCCAGTGTGTTAACTTAAAGAACAACAACAAAACTCAACCATGTAGTTAACAAACTACGTGTCCATAATCACTCTGATCATTTTGCTTGTATGTTATATCCCTTCCCATCATCCTTTGCCTTTTTAATCTGTACCCTTCTGTCTTCCTTTCTGTTTGGGAAGTACATAGCACATTCTGTTTGGGAAGTACATAGCACTACCACAATCTAACTAGTAAAAACGGAAGTTTCATGTCCTAGGATGATCTCTGTATAACACTGACTAAGTAGTAGCTTAGGAGAAATAACTCCTAAAGAATCTGTCTGGGTTTTATACATGCAAGTTGAGACAGGATTTTGGGAGCTTTAGTCAGTTCTATATAGTACGTTTTATATCATCTAGACAGAATGTGTTCAGTAAAGCTACTGCTTCCTTCCATTATTACTGAGGCTTATTGTATTCCTCCAAAGCTCTGAGAAATCCGAGACACCGCCTAAGCATCTAGGATGTATTGCACTGAAATAGGCCCTACAATTCAAGCTTCACCTGATGAACATCCCAAGACACTGAGGAAAGCTTACCTGTATACAGTGTTTTCTCTATGCAGGTCTTCCAAGCCACAAAGAATCTCTGCTGCATAAAACAAAGCTCTCTCCTCCTCAAAGCCTGGGTTTCCCATGTTGTAGATGTGGAACTTCAAGTCACCCCCATTCATTATGGTCAGAACTAAACACAGTGCATCCTTTGTTTCATAGGCATAGGCTAAGTTAACCTAGAAAGATATTTGTAAAATAGCACTCGCGGTTCTGTCATAAGGTGTGTTGAAGTCATTGCTAACTTTTGTACATTAAAAGTGACAAAATTTGACAACAGTGCGTTGTAAGCAAAGCAAAGCGAGGAGAAGATATGAGCCTTCTTGCAACATGAAGATTGTTTTACAAAACCACAAAAAAACCCCCAGCAATTAGAATATTATGGACTGATGTTTTGAATCCTCTGGGGTTCAAGCTGGTGCTTTAAAAATAGCTGCGTAGGCCATACTTTGCAGTTGCGGCTCTGGCTGGAGCACCGGCTCTGAGGCCCAATCCCCTCCTTACGGTTCAGAGCCTTAGTCACAACTTCAAAACACTGTCTCTACAGCTCTTTTTAGAGCACTAGCAAGAGCCCTGCTGGCCTGAGTCTGTCAACCCATGCTGGGAGGCTTGCTCCCGCTTGCTCCAAAATCTATGTGGACATACCCTCAGTCACAGGACGGTAGGGTTGCTGACTGTCGAATCGCACAAACTCAAACATCCTTGCCCCTGCCCCTCCCCGAGGCCACGCCCTTGTCCCACCACTTATCCTAGGCCCCGCCCCTGCTCACGTCATCCCCACTCCCTCTGTTGCTGACTCTCCCCTAGCCTCACTCACTTTCACTGGGCTGGGGCACGGGGTTGAGGTGTGGGAGGGGGTGTGGGCTCTGGGCTGGAGCCCAGGGGTTCGGCGTGTGGGAGGGGGCTCCGGGCTGAGCCTGGGGCAGGGGGTTGGGGTGCAGGAGGACAATCAGGGTTTGGGATTTGGGAGGGAGTTTGGGTGCGAGAGGGGGCTCAGGGCTGGAGCACGGGGTTGGGGTATGGGAGGGGGTGAGGGCTCTGGCAGTGCTTACCTCAGGCGGCTCCTGGAAGTGGCAGCATGTCCCTGCAGCTCCTAGGCTCAGGGGCGGCCAAGTGGCTCTGAGTGCTGCCCCTCCCTTCAGGCACCGCCCTGCAGCTCCCATTGGTTGCGGTTCCCAGCCAATGGGAGCTGCGGAGCCGGCATTTGGAGTGAGGGCAGCGCGTAGAGACCTCCTGGCTGCCCCTGAACCTAGGAGCCAGACATGCTGGCCATTTCCAGGAGCCGTGTGGAGCTGGGGCAGGTAGGGAGCTCACCTAAGCCTCACTGCGCTGCTAACCAGACTTTCGGCCTATTAAAATCTCCCAGATTGCTTTCAATAGCAACCGGGAGATTGCGGCCGATTCCGGGAGACTCCTGGCCAATCTGGGAGGGTTGGCAACCCTACAGGACAGACCAGGCCCATCATATTGACTAGATGCTTCCTGCTAACCATGCACCATCCTCTCAGTCTTACTGGGTTGAGCCTCAGCCAGCTCATTCTCATCCAAATCCCTCTCTCACCCAGGTATTGGGAAATCAGGTAATCACTGGGGATAAAAATAGCTCAGTCTGACACAACCCCAATACAACTGGAGGCTGCAAAGAGTAAACATTTTAAATTCCCTAAATAGAAGTAGCCACCACATTTGGTGCACATCTCACATACTGCAAGCTAAAACTAGAGTCAGTTGACTGGAAAAGAGAAGGGCTCAGGTAAACTGAGTAAGCATTATACAGTGGGCCAGCTTCCGCTGCCACTACATGTACCATGAAGCCAATTGGAGGCACTGAAGTCAACAAGAATTATGCACGGGGACTGACAATGTAACTGGGCCTATAGTGAGGAGTTCAATACTCACTACAAATTGACTATTGACTTTTTCTAAAATCTGCTTTTCATTTAATGCCATGGATTCGCCTTTCCTCTTTTTTATTCTCTTCTTCTCTAATCTTTTGCAGGCATACATTTTCCCTGTCGCTCGGACTTGGCAAGCACAGACCTAAAAGTTAAAAAGAGAAGGGAAAAACGATTACTTGGGCAGGTTAAAGAAAATACCTTTTAGCTATAAAGTTTAGTACCTCGTTGTCTGATTTGTCTGCAGTCTTTTTTAAGGGCTTGCTAATGGTGTGAGAGGCAGTGTGGCCCACTGAGTAGGGCACAGGACAGGGCATCCAGAGTTGGGTATGGGTTCTCGCCTTGGTTCTGGAATTGACCTGCTGTGTAAATTTAGTGTAGTTACTTCACCTTTCTATGCCTGTTTCCACACCCACCCTTTGTCTGTGTCATCTACTTAGGGTATGTCTACACAGCAGAAAAATTAACCTGTCAGCAAGCTTCAGAGCCTGGGTCAACTGACTCGGACTCACACTGCAAGGCTAAAAAGAACAGTGTAAACGTTCAGGCTTGGAGCCCAGGCTCTGAGACCCTTGCTAGGTTTCAGAGCCCAGGCTCCAGCCAGAGCTGAACATCTGCATGGCTATTTTTAGCACCACAGTATGAACCCGAGTCAGTTGACCTGGGCTCTGAGACTCACTGACACAGGGTTTTTTTTGTGTGTAGATGGACCCTTAGATTAGACACTCTTCAGGGCAGGGCCCTGTTTCATACTGTGCATTTAGACTGTGCCCTGATCTAAGCAGAGGCCTCTAGTTGCTATTGTGATACAGATAATAACGGTGTGAGCATGATTCAAAAGTAACTAACAGACAAAACAAAAGAGTCATTTCTGTAGGTGACCCTTGAGGGTTATAATCTTATGAAATGTTAACAGAAAACTGTCAGCAATTAAGTGATTAAAACCATCCTCTTTCTTATGAAAAAGATTTCTTTTAACCTGCAGTGCCTGTGAGGTGAGAAACATTCTTAACAGAAGCTTTCAGAATTACTCACCTCCCCAAAACCACCTTTTCCTAGTACCCTGTACTGCCTAAATGTGTTTTTCGTTACTGGTTGCCTGAAAGAAAAGGAAATATAAAAAGAAACTCTACATTTAATGCACTCTCTAAGATTTATTTATTTCAGATCATACTTTTGAAAGAGCAAAAGAGCTAAATATTGTATAATCACATTATTTCAAGGTAATCACATTATCTAATAGACTATATAATTATGTAATCACATTACTGCAATACTATGTATGGTTTGAACTTTTCAATTCCAACATATTAAGCTGTAATAAAATACAACACATTAGTGAGTCACTGGTGTGCAGCACAATTTCTGACAGAGTCTTAGGACTAAATGGGAACCTGACTTTCCATCATATGGGATTTAAAAAAAGGAGTCAGAAGAGTTTGAAAAGACACAATCATTCTATGAATCATCTGATAATTCACAGGTCTCTATTAAGGGTCAAGTCTTGCCCCTTCCTCCATGGGCACAGAGTGCCTTACCTCAGGTGGAAATTCTTCAGACTCACTGGACTGATAGGGAGCCTGTGTCCCATTTGTGTCATGGCAGCCAAGCTTCTCAGGGACTTCTTCTGTGTCCCATTGCAGTGGGGTTTGGTGAGGGAAGGCAGGAATGGAATAGGCAAGGAAGAGGGAATTGAGCAGCCATATTTGTAATTTACTTTCCCACTGGCCCAAATCAGTCTCAAGTAGTTGTCATGAAAGCCTGTTGTTATTTATTATTTGTATCACCACAGCACCTAGGTCATAGACCAGGACCCCACTGTGCTAGGGGTCCCTGCCCCAAGGAGCTTACAATCTGCAGACTGGTTTCCCATTCAGGCCTGTTTCTATAGTTATTTTAGAATAACATCTATAGACCTTCATCTCTATTAAATGTTATACAATTTTTCCATGAAAGTCAGGCCTCCAACCGTAATTCTAACATTTACCTCCCCTACAGTTTTATAATTTGCTGGAGAATATTTGATTTCAAATATCTTGCTTTTTAAACCACCACTCTGTCACTAAGGCATGAAATAAAACTATATTAAAAACGACTGCTAATGAATATTCATATGAACCCTATAGTAGCTTTGTTTTGCTGCTGTAGGGCAGCCCAGTGAGCACAAGTTAAATAGCATAGCTGTGAGACCAACCCGAAGGATGTGGCTGAGGATAACAAAGGAAGTAAACATTAAGGTGAGCCAGGTTCATTTGTGCTCTATTTAAAAAAACAACCAGGGTGCGGGAGGGAGAAGGAAACCTTATATAAATGAAATGGGAATGGACCAAACTGGAAGGGGAAAATGTTATTTTCAAGCTTCTAAGAAAATATTGCAAACACTAGTAGGGTTAAAAACACCAATTAACCATGATAACTACATACTTGCCAGTGTCCCTGGAATAAACTGAGCGTTTAACTGTTCTGTTGAAGCCAACAGGCTGTCAGAACGAACTGTTAATCATTCCATGCTAGTGAAGTTGTCTTTGTTTAATGCTGAAAAGTGCTCTTCAGTTTCCTAAGCTGAGTGGGCTCATCTGATGTCTTGTCAAGTTTATTTTTGGGGGGGGTGGGGGGGGGGAATAAAAATCTTTAATGCATTTGACAAAATTCCAAATCCTAGATGTGACAGTAAACTGAAAAAGGTCAAACTTGATAGGAAACATCTGATCTTTTTCAATTTAAGTGGAAGAAAGAAAATAGAGCATGACAGTGATCACTGGATGCTGTGGTTTTCATGTGGAATATGGCATGTGCTGACCTGAAATGGCTGACCATCAGCCAAATGGTATTTAATTTTAAGAGCTAGATATTTAGCTGGTGCCATTGGCACAGCTCTGTTGATTGTTCATCTGAATTATGCTGATTTACACAAGCTGAGACTCTGGCCCTAAATCTTCTCTTGTAATTCACTTTGTGGAAAGCGTGGAATTCCTTTAACTCAGAGTGACAGTCACCATTAGCAAGCTGCACCAATCCGCTGTGGCACCAGCCAACAAAGAATACATGTTTCTTTGTCTTGGCAGGTCAAAGCCCCTAAAGATTCCTGAAAATGAAGCGTTCCTGGAAATGTGTACCTAATAATTCTGGCTCTAGGACACACATGCTGTATTTTCCTTTGTTTTATAAAAACAGAAATAGCGGGTCCTCCAAAAAGTTATCATAGATCTGTCTTGGTCATCAGCATTCAAAGGTTAGCTACGCAAAAGGACGGTTCAAATTGCAGCGTTGTTTTTTTTTTAAACAGTACCCAGTGTACTGGAAGTTAAACACTACAACACACTAGCCATATCTAGGTCGTTTTTCTGTTTTATTATTAACTTTTCTAGCAAGCAGAATCTGGTTTAGCATTGCTTATCATGCTGTTTGCAAATGTGAAAACTGGAGACTCGATGCACATCTAAAACTTCACATCATAGACACATGCAGGTGGGATGTAACTGCTAACGTGGGTCATTTAAACATATTTGTAACAGGATGCAAACATCTATTTGCCTGCAATGAATAACTTTTAGTGACAGGGAGCACAGTAACTGCTAGGGCAGAGATTTTTGAAGCCACATAAGTAAATTTGGATACCCAGTTCCCATTAATTTTAATGGGAATTGGGTGTCCAAATTCCTCAAGCAGCTTTGAAAATCTCATCCTATAGGTCTATGGTGGACAACCCACATTCTGCAATGTAGCTTCCCAAGGTGTTATCTGTGGCCTACGACTTCTCTATATTCTGGTCTACACCTAAATATTAAATCAACCTAGCTACAGCACTCAGGGCTGTGAAAAATTACACACCCTGAGCAACATACTTGGGTCAACCTACTGTAGATGCAGCAAGATCAGCAGAAGAATTGTTCCACAGACCTAGCTACCGCCTCTCGGAGAGGTGGCTTACCTTCATCAATGAAGAAACCCCTTCCATCAATGTAGGAAGTGTCTATACTACAGCGCCCACAGAGGCATGGCTACAGTGCTGCAGCTGTGCCGCAGTATCACTGTAGAGTAGACATATCCTCACTATCTTGAGGAAAGTGGTATTCTAGAGAGTAGGGGGAAGGGGAGGAGATTATTCCTGATCTGTGCATGTACAAGGAGGACCACTGCTATCTTGGCTATAGTTGGTGTAGACTCGTTCATGGTTGGGGGGCTCAGCTAGTGGGTGAAATGGGATCCACCACTGAGGTAAGTTTGATTCTTATCTGGTTTCGTTCTGCAGGACAAAGCCTCAATCTGCTTTTTGACCCTTCTAACAATGGGCACTTATGACCAAATACGAAGCTTGGGGAAGCCTTTCTGAGAAGAATGGAAATCCTGAAGCACAGCTCAGGGGAGCAGAGAGCATGGCACGATGGGACTTTGTGAAGGGGAAGAGGGAGAATGGAGGAGAGCAAAATCTGAGAACTGTTATATGAAGTCTAGGAGGCCAGAGGGAAAGCCGATGGGAGGGGAGGTCTACTAAATGTCTGGATGGTCAGGTAAATTCTCACTACAATAATTTATGTCACTTTCCCCATCCCTCTTCTCATCCCTTGTAATTTTATATTCTAAGATAGTTCATAACTCAAAAATGGGGCCAAATTTTGCCTTTGATTTAAAAATCAGTGGGAGCAACGCATGCTTTTTTGACAAACAGACTGCATAGTTTTGCATAGAAACTGACTACATATATATTTAAAAAGAGCAGTGCTTACCTTTCCAACCACTTCCACTGCAGAAACCTATCAAAGTACATGCTGTCTAGGTATTCTTGAAATGGCTCTCCACTTAGGTAGTCAAGGACAGATCTGTCTCAGATGAAAAAGATATATAAGCATTTTATAATCCTGAACTTGAAAAAAAAAAAAGGAATTCCAGTCTTGCTCTAAAGCAACTTTGCTTTATTTATTTCCACCTTGATTTAATCGTGATTTTAATCAGTAGGAGCTACATTGGAACAACGTGTCATGTACACTGTACCTCACCATGTGTGGTACTAGTGTGGCACCATGTGTGTTAACAGTGACACTAGTTCTGAAACTCTTCAGCTGGCTGGCACCATGAGCCAGTAATAATGGTAGCTAACAGTGAAGTCACATGTAGGGGGCGTGTAGGTCTTGATCCAAAGTCTGTTGAAGGCAATGGAAAGGTTCCCATTGACTTTAATGGAGTTTGGATTAGACCTTTAGCCACTAGGACAGTTAATAAGTTGAGGAGGGGGCCAAACCAAACCCCTCTGAAGCCAGTCTTCCTGAACTTTGGGGAATGTTCAGATCTGGACTCAAACTTTCTGATATGACATCTCAGTTATCGAATGACCATCAGGGATGCTGTTAGCTAAAGCAAAGGAGTCAGTCATAATTCATGCTTTTGGTCCAAAGAAAGCAAAACATTACTGAATTAAGCCAAAGGACCCTGCCCAACAGCTATGTTGCTAGTGGAATGAAACAAATGAAGAAAGTAAGGATGGGCCTGTGGATGTGGGCCTGTGTCAGGAAGGGGCCTTGGGTGGTCATGTTGTTGATGCAAAGCTTTGGTAGAAAGCCAGCAAAATGTGCCAGAGAACTATTGTGTGATAGGCAGCAAGTGGCCAGAGACAGAGAGAAGTCCTGTCAGACTGGCTGAGGGGCAGGGCTGAGAGAAAGAAGATGAGACAGGCCCCAGGCATTGATGTGCAGGGTCTGCTGCTGTATAGCTGGTTGTTGTTCTGTCCTTTCAGGTCATTGCTGATTGGTGTGCTAATGCCTCTGCTGGCATGCCAGTGGGGGGGGGGGGGGGGTTAGAGCTTAGCCCAGAGTGCAAGAGACACAGCATAGGGAATGAGAGTTGCTCTCCCCTGGCCTCAGAGTCACATCACAGTGGCCCAGGGTTACTTGACGGGAAAAGGAGGCATCTAATCATATACAGTCTAAAGATTAGTCAATCAGGGCTCCTCTGATAGTTCATGGTCTCTTGATTGGCTAGCCTGCTGGAACTAGTCTTACCTTCTGACCAACCAGTGCAATGGAAGGTATTGCATGCTTTCTAGCCAAATACACTTTAATTTAGAAACGCATTTCAGAGACAGAACATGACATCCAGACAAGTATAAACCTGCCAGCTATGAAGACATCACACAAGCACCTCTCTAAGTAGAACACAGTTCTGAGAGAAAGGAAACATTTCTATGGTATTTCCCATTGAGGAACAATTGTGCTTTGGGACTAGGTCTTTTCATTATCTAACTGATATGGTCCTAGAACTGAGCAAATGATTCATTGTTAATAATTTATCTCCTGAATTTAGCTTTTCTCCATTCGTTAATTGCCCATGGGCCATTTTTAATTTTCTGGAATTTGTTGGTTGTTTGAAATTATTTCCTAGTAATTCTTGTTCTGTGGATTGTGAATGAGCAGTTAATTGTCAGTATTTTACATTCAAAATTCCAATTCAAGTTGTCTTGGTTAGTTTTGATAGGACACACAGGTCATGTGGTATATGTCTCAATGGCAGGAAATATTTTTCTCAGAAGTGTAGTTTACAGAAGAAAATCTCAACATAAGCAGGTTACTACCAGAAAGAATCCCCCGCCCCCCAAAACCACACCTAGACCCAACAAGATAACAGTGGTACGTGCCACAGTAGCTATTAAAAAACAAAACAAGGGAAACACATGCAAACACATATATTTCTCCTGCGGATCAGTCTTATTCTTGGAGATGTATTTGAAATAAATCCTTGCTACAGCACATAAAGGCAGGCAAACATCACATTTGTGTGTGTCCTTTCCCTGTCTGGGTTGGACTATGCACTAAATTAACGTGGTGCAATACATTTAGCAAACACCAACAGCAAGTTTTTAAAACTTCCCTTTGAGCCCATTCCAGTTCATGTGAAATGATCAGCATTTTTATGAATGAGGTTTCATAACCATTTATGAACTGAAACAGATAAATTAGCCAGTCATCTCAAACTCTTCTGAATACAGAACTCAACTAAGTGGTGTCCACAGCTAGCCATCTAGTAATTAAAAGCTTCATGCATTGTAACAAAGAATGGCTGCCTTTCACCAGTTATTTGCTTTTTTGGTCCCCTCGTCAGCATCAACAAAATACATTTGACAGTAAACTGTCAGGTTTAAAATTGATTTCAGAAACGGAAACCAACATCAGTTTTTTTATGTCAAGCACAGCTCTGCCTTTGTCATCATCAGGACTTGTGCACTCAACTGGGCTAAGTTGATATCAATATCCCAATGGGCACGAGACCAATGCAAGTAAACCAATTTGTTATAACGGAGGGCCAGAAGTAATCCACACTTTTCCCCAATGCAAAGCATAGCTGAAAGCAGAAAAGGTCAATAACAGGAGCCAAATCAGTGAATGACAGCAGAGCACATTTTACAAATCCCCATTACATCATCTAGGGAAAACAAAATGTGCTCAGCCAAAGACCACATGGGCCTGTTTTAGATGTTTCCCCTCTTTTCGTATTTTTGTTGGTTTCTGATCTACTAGCATTAAACATACTAGGATCAGTGTTTGCAAATGCAAATTGCATACTGGGAACTTTAGGACACAATAGCACAATTGCTTCTCCTCTGCAAAACTGATAAGCCTTTTCCCAGACAAAAGGATTAAATCGTGCACATACATTTCAACTCCAAGCCCCATCCTTTTGTTGAAGGTTTTCAGGAAAAGCCATGCAGGCAACGTTTGCACATTCCTCTGTCTAAATGGACTGCATAACCACTTAATTTTTATTCACTTTGAAACAGAGATGTTTTCTTTGGATTCATTATCATTGTACCGCTTTTCACACAGCATGAAGTCTAGGGCTGGTTCACTTGGCTAGAACATTCTGTCAAATACCTGAAACACTAAGTTCCTGTATGAGGTCTGCATAGTGGAAGGGAAATATTTACTATATTTTATACAGATGAAGCAATTTCATCACTTGTCAGTTATTTGTCTGAGAGTATGAATGCAAATTTAAGAAAATGCAAGCTGCAGATTCAAATGAAAATCCCTCCTCGTATCTGACACGGTCTTTTACACGTCTGACCACTCCAACTGTGGGATCTTTGGAAGTCAAGTTATACTTACTTTGCACAGTGAGAAAACAGCTCTTTGCAGGGGCTGATTTCGAGTTTTTCCTCAGTCTGATGGACAAGATCTTGACTGACTTCTGCAACATAAACTGGGGACTAGGGAAAGACGAAAAGAGCAATGTTATCTTTGTTCTAAAGCACAGCCGATTCCCTGCTAGCACATTAAGCCACGTTCATTAGCCAAACTCTTGGCCACTCTAATTCAGCTCCAAGGGTTGTGTAAGAGCAATTGAGAACTGAGTCGTGCTGCAGAAAAGTATGATACTGTAGTAATTTTCTCTGTGCTCCACTGTACCCCCACACGAATGCGATAACCTTTCATGCACTCTTCTATACCTCCATGATATGCAAAAGATGCTGGCCTACCAACTCTATCAGTTCACAGACCACATTTTACATCCCATGAAAAATCTGCTATACTGAACTGCATAGGGACTAGTCCTTCATTCTTTAAAACAAAAGAGAATTCTCCCAGTGTTTTCATGTAATTGATGCTTCTTTGTGTTATCTAAAAGAATCCATTTTTTTCCCAGCAGGAGCTCAGCACAAATCAAGAGCAGAGAGAATGTATTTTATTTATTTATTCAGATTTACATAATATTAAAAAAAGACATCTATACGTGGCTCTGGGCACCCTAACATAATTAGTAGTACAATGAAATCTCAGCAGCATTAAAATAATCATTGCAGACAGGAATTCTCTCAGCCAACTACCTACAAAAACTCCTTTCCACCCCTTCATTGCTGTAGGAAACATACCTTCAGCGCTCTGCGAAATCCCTGTCAAACAGATGTCTTTTGCAATGTGCCTGGAAAATCACCAAATTGGTCTATTTCAGACCACTTGACAGAAGGGACTTGTTTTTAGAGACATTTCATACATTTTCGCATTCCTAAGAAAACTGTGTAATTATAACATTTGAATGAAATCTATCCATCGATGTATAGCTATTACGATAGCTATATTTCATTCACATTCTTATTTGGGTCTTATGCTTATTTACACGAAGACCGCTCCTTCCCTATTCAAATCAGTGGGATTTGAGCACCTTCCCTTCTTAGGCTCCTTTGAGAGCCCAGCCATATGTATCAATCAAACCCTCTCAATATACGTGCAGGAGGAGCCATAACACTTTGTAAAGAAAAACTTTTCATTCATGAGCATGACCACCAGATGGTGCTGAGTGGGAGGATCACAGCAGTTAATCACTCACTTCTGACCAGATGGTCCGGGTAGCTCACGCTTGGTTTGTGATATCCTGACAAGTATTGTAATAAATTGCAGTGATAATTGAGCAAATGACGGGGGCGAAGGAGAAGGGGACAGGAGTAAGTAGGAGCAAATCCCCAGCTTGGTGGAAGTTGAATAAAATCTTTCTTTTTTTCTCTGCTGAAATGAGAATACACTCCTGATTACAACAAGGAAGCATATTCTGTGCTCTGCTGGAGTATTTTTAAACAGGGCCGCAGCCTACAGTATTGGGCAACCGAGGCTCAGAGTTTAGCATTTTAATAAAATCAGTAGAACATGCTTGATGTTTGTGTCCTCGGTTGAAGATTTCCTCCTTCCCTCCATATCTCTAGCCCAAGAAGGTTGGGTGGAATGCCCTGTAAAGGTCATTATCACCACTTAACTCAGCCACAGGGTTTCTCTGGAGAGCAACAGGAGGTGCATTTTCACCTGAGCTGGAGCAGACTCTCTCTACAGCAGGGGTCTCAAACTCAAATGACCACGAGGGCCGCATGAGGACTAGTGCATTGGCCCGAGGGCCTCATCACTGACACTCACCCCTTGCTGTCCCCGGCCCGGCCCCCACTCTACCCCTTCCATGAGGCCCCGCCCCTGCCCTGCCTCTTCCCGCCCCCATTCCAACCCCTTCCCTGAAGTCCTCACCCCAACTCTGCCCCCTCCCTGCCCCCAGGGGGTGCAGGAGGGTTGCGGGGTGTGATGGGGGCTCAGGGCAGGGAGTTGAGGTGCAGGAGGTGTGCAGGGTACGGCAGGGGGCTCAGGGCAGGGAATTGGGGTGTGGGGTGCAGGAGGAATGAGGGGTGCGGCAGGGGGTCAGGGTGCAGGGTGCAGCAGGGGGCTCAGGGTAGGGAATTGGGGTGTGGGGTGCAGGAGTGAGGCAGGGGGTCGGGGTGCAGGGTGCAGCAGGGGGCTCAGGACAGGGAGCGCAGGAGGGTGCAGGGTGTGGCAGGGGGCTCAGGAGGGGTGAGGGGTACAGCAGGGTGGGCAGGGGGCTCAGGGAAGGGGGTTGGAGTGCAGCAGGAGTATGTGGGATGTGGCAGGGGGCTCTGAACAGGGGGTTGGGGTGCAGGCTCCAGCCCGGTGCCGCTTACCTAGAGCGGCTCCAGGGTGGCAGCACCGCGGCCAGGGCAGGCTCCCTGCCTGCCTGCCCCCTGGCCCCTCTCCGCTCTGCTCCGCTCCAGGAAGCAGCCGGAGTCCCGGGGGGGGGGGGGAGAAAGGGCGAAATGGCACCATGTGCTGCTCTTGCTCCTCCAGGTACCTCTCCCAAAGCTCCCATTGGCCACCGTTCCCCGTTCCCGGAGCTGTGGGGGGCAGTGCCTGGAAACGACAGCACGGAGCCCTCTACTCTCCCCCGCCCCCCTCTGGCCTGGGGCTGCAGGGACATAGTTCCAGCCGCTTCAGGGAGCAGTGCGGGGCTCACGGCGCCACAGGATAGGCAGAGGGGCGGGGGCACGCACGGGCAGGGGGGCATGGGGAGCTTGGCGGGCCGCATGAAAGAACCCCGCGGGCCGCGTGTTTGAGACCCCTGCTCTACAGCATTTCCAGCACTGCCAACCTGAGGGACAAGAGACGAGGCCTGCAAGGCGACACCAAATAGGACTAAGTGCTACAAGCACCGCCCATTGACGTGATATGAACATTTTAACTTAACAAAAGAACTTCTAAATAATGGCATCAGACTTCATCAAAAGACCTCAAAGTGCACTACAACCAACTAACTAAGCCTCATGACACCCTGGGAGGTAGGCAGTACTACTGTACTCATTGAATAGATCAGGAAACTGAGGTACAAGGAGACTAAGGCCAAATTTTCTCATCATGGTTGCTCACTGGAGGCAATGGGAACTGAGGGGTGCAGAGCACCATGAGAAATCAAGCCACTTATTTAGGTGCCTAAATACAGATTGAGAACTCTAAATTTAGGCACCCAATTTTGAAAATTTGTGTGTGTGTGTGACTGGCCTGACGCGTGACAGTGAACGAACTGGAAACAAAACATAATATAAATTCTAAGGCATTTAAGAATATTCGTACAGGGCCTGATCCAAAGACTACTGAAGTTAACAGGAGTCTTTTCATTGAGTTGGGTTAGAAAACATGTTAACTTACATGTTTTAATTAACATGTGGTTAACCCCCACTTAGTACCTAGTGTAGACAAAGACAGCAGTGTTTAAAAATGTGTTAGTTGGATGTGGTTAGCAGAGCTGAAGGGAGAGGTAATGATCTAACACATGTTAAAACATTCCTGTCCATAATTAGACAGCTAATAAAAATGGCTTGATTCTTAGAGGTGTTGAGCATCTGCATCTCCCATGGGTTTTTGTGGAATCTACAGGTACTCAGTATTTTATGCGACCTGCAGGCATTGAGCACCAGAAACAAAGCCTTTATTTAAGTGCCAAAATATAGATATAGGTGCCTAGCTTTAAGCATTCATTAGAACACGTTGGCTCCATTTCCATCCCCATTCATACAGCCATGCTCTCCATTTCTCCTCCTCTGTCTGGGATCAAGTTAATGTTATGGCACTAAACACACATCACATTTTGTCTGAGACTAAAAAGTGCATGACAAAATGGGGCCCTGCTGGGGCCACCATTCCCCTCCCCCTCCACACACGGATGCAAAAGTGTGCAGACTCCTCACACACACTCTGGTGAAAGTAAGACCCAGGTGCCCCTTCTCCACCCTCACCTTCCTTGGAGAAAAACTGCAGATATCAACCAGCCAGTAGGAGCAGTCACAGAACAAGCAGCCAAGGCAGGGATCTTTGCACATTCAAAGAACTTGCTGCAGTTTTGACTGGCCATTCTCTGCTCTGTGCCAATTGGCTGTTTGCTGCAACCCTCCCTTTTCTTTTGTCTCCCAATTTCTTCACCTCAGCTTCACTCCACACCTGCCTCTTGTACCTTCCCCTTCCCTCTTCCTTACACCCTTCCCTTTAACATCTTTTCTCCCTTCATTTCTCTTTCCATTTAGCTCATTCCCTCTGAACTAACCCTTCCCCCCCCCCCGAAAAAAAGAATTGGAACTAACAATGTTTGCTGCCATCACATTGTTCTTGCTGCTTGTGTGTCATAACTCTTCCTCCCACCCTGTCTCTGTCTTGTCTATTTAGATTGCAAGCACTTAGGGGAAGGGACTGTTTGCTACCATGTTTGTACAGCACCTAGCACAGTAGGACCCCATTGTTGCTTGGCCCTTAGGCACTACTGTAATAAACACGATAAACAGTAATGATATTAGGATATTACACTTTCCAAAAAAAATCATAAGCACAATTTTAAGAACCATTTTAATACGTGAGGAGACTAAATTTGGGATAAAGTGAAGGGAGAAGGAAGGGAAGAAAAAAGAATGTGAGAACTATTTACAAGTACAGTTAATCGCCCTTTCCCAGCCCAAGTTCATGAGAGACATGGTCAGTGCTTAATTTTTCAAAACCACTCGCAACTGACCTTTGAATCGCTCTTCTCTTTCCTCCCCTCTTAACAAATCAACAGCAAACGAACAATATTAATGGAAGTAGAGGCATCTAAGAACACTAACATTCTGCACTTTTTAAAAGGAAACATATGGATGGACCGGAGCCCAGTATGTAGTGCGAACAGTTTTACTAGACCATTTAATTTTCTTTAACAAAATAAGTTATTTTTTTATGTGCAGTTCATTTTCCAAGGAATTGTATGTCTATGAAAACAAGTTGTGTAATTGTGCAGCCCTTGAAACCATTCAAAACCAGAGGCTTAAAGCCAAAGGGACCATTCCAACTCAATTAGTGTAGCCTACCCTGCTGTACACCTTATAGTCCCAAAGAGTCTTCTATATACAATATAGACTGACAT